ATATATATACACATGTACATAATTATACATATATATTCTGCCCAATTGTAAATGGCTGCCCTGGCTTCACCTGTCACATCGCTGTTAGCAGTTTAGTATATTATATAGAAGTCTGTGGTTCTTATATAAAATATAGCCGTGTTAGCAGCATAGACATAGTATATCTAGACCGAGCGTTTGCCTTTATTTAAGGAGTGGGGGTAAAGATGCACGTAGAAAAGGACATACTCTGTTTCGTGCCCCTTGCGTTCTCTCTCGCTCGCACAGAGCATAGCGCTCTCTTTCGTCATGCTACGTGCGAGCGAGAGGGAACGCAAGGGGCACGAAACAGAGTATGTCCTTTTCTATGTGTACCTCGGCTCCCACTCCTCAACACTCGGTCTAGATTTACTATGTCTATGGTTAGCAGTCTAGTATATTATATAGAAGTCTGTGATCAATATATATTATTTCTGTCAAATTTCTTTAACATATAGACAAACACTATCAAAATATGTGTGACAATTATATGTTTGACAGCCGCCGCAACGACACGAATATCAGTGACGTGAACTTGCGCAATATAACAGCCAATCAAATTTAGGCACAATTTATCTCGTTGCATCGTCCCGCAGTGGCTTCCCCCCCGCAATGATATACTCGGCCCCTATATTTCTATGGACGATGCGTACATTAATGTTTGCGTATATTAGAGTAACTTGAAGTAAAGGCCATCACACCCAAAATTCCGTAAGGGCATAAGATGTAAACGTAAGAAAATTGACCATATTATTATTAAACAAAATATATATAAAACATTACTATCCCCCAGTAGAATATTAGAATCTAATCAAGGATTAATAAGGGATATAATTCTCATAATTTTTTTTTCTGCATGTCTTATTTATTTGAATATTTCAACCATCCAAAATTTCTTGTTGCATTTGTATTTTAATTTTATTTTTATTTACACTGCCAGAGTAGTAACGTTTTATAATATATTTTTGATTAATAATAATAATAACACACACACATCTATTATATAAAATAAATATAATTCTGGTAACAATATTCTGCGCAGGCGCTTAACGCTCGACGCTCGACGCTTGACGCTGTCATGTAAAGGCACTTTAAAGGCCGTATTACACTACGGGTTGCGGGCTCGATTGCGGTTGGGGTTACGGTTGACGATTACGGATATACCAATCAGAGCAAAGCAGCTTGCCGGTTGATTGGTCAATCCGCAACTATCAACCGTAACCCCAACCGCAACCCGTAGTGTAATACGGCCTTAAGGGAGTTAGCAGTCTAGTGACGCGCTCCTTAGTTACGGCCGTTCGGCGCTGCGTTGTTAAGGAGCGAGCAGTAAGAGGGGGAACCGTAGGCGTGAGTCAAGAAATCCGGCCGAAAGTTGCATCTAAATCCCAGCACTGTAGTAATATATAGAAGTCTGTGGTTCCGATTCCCCACCCGGGTGCACCCGATATTATAGTATGTTCGAAATCAAACGAACTATAATTAATTCATAGCAATTATTGACAGTTATAACGAGTGATAATAAAGCGCGGCTTATTCACGCTCCAAATTCGGCGCGCTGGCGGACATCTCGCGCGGCGCCCGGCTCTCCGCGAATCAGAGCGCGCTTCGTCAGCTGCGCTCCGCGAATCGTGCCAGGCCCGCGGCATCGCTCGTGCCATTCGAAGCGGGCCACGCAGCGGTCACCCGAGAGAGCCAAAATTACAAACAAATGAGAATAACAACGTTCAATTTTAAATAATCATCGCAAACAACAACAAGCTCGATCTTTCGCGAAAAACATGTCGAATGTTTTAGAATAAGAAAAAGAACGGTTGTATAAAAGCTCTCTCGGGGAACCGCCGGGCGCACTCGATCGAGATTTATCCGTGACAGTGTGTGCTTATATCTTTTAAACTCGTTATAGAAAAGTCGCTCGCTTTTCTAATTCGTACGCTCGTTTACAAAACGCGAAGTTTATTTCGATTATACTAAAAGAGATTTCTCGTCGCTCGCGATTAATCTCTCGTTATTAAAACGCGCCGTTTATTCCGTCGTTCGCGGAATCGTGCCGTTTATACCGTCGCTTGCGGTATTCGAGATATATCCGTTGCTCGCGGAGATTATCGTTACGCTTCCGGTCGCTCGCCGGAGCGAGCACTCGGTTAAGATTAGAATAAATCTTATCGCCAAAAGACTTGTGAACTATTTATTGTTCTTAATAAATTGATTGCTTTTTTTAACAAACACGTTTGTGTCCATTTCACGCAATCCTCGCGCTCCCGCGTTTACTCGCGCACATAGTATATGTCACGTACACTATAATATCGGGTGCACCCGGGTGGGGAATCGGAACACAACCTTGAGTAGAGTCCTATATAATCAGAGAGGCGACATCGATACCCCCTCCATGCTTCCCATGATCGCCATGTTGGGCCCGCAGCTGTCCATTTGTAATCTAAAATGTCTTAAAAATGTCTCAGAGATATTTAAAAGGTTTTTTTTTAGAAAATAACATTACAAATATACTTTTTTCTCACTTACGGTACGCCGGTTGCGATTAGTTTGCACGTAGGATTCACTACGGGACCAACATAGGGCGCGTTCCACTTAACAACCGCAACGCTCGCGAGCATTATCTGTCTTTGTTTAACTTTCAGTGAACAACAAAGATGATACCGTGAGCGTTGCGGTCGTTAAGTGGAACGGACCCATGCTGACTCGTGCCCTAAAAAAGATGGGCCACCTTTCTATATTAATTGTAAGGATCCTCATAGAACCATAAGTGTGAGCTGTCCGGAATACACTATGCAAAGGAGGGTTAGAGAACTTGCGCCATACGACAATATTCCTCTTGCGGAGGCTAGAATGCGTGTTGGGGGATGTCCGGTAGATTCGAATCTTAACCCTGCACCAAATTTTAGGGAATTCTCCCCCCTGAACAACCACCCTCTCCCTTCCCAACCCCTCTATCCTGCCTCTTCCTCTTCCCTCCTTCCTTCAGCGCCCTCCTCCCCCTTTCCTAGATCGTATTCGCGCGTCTTGTACCCAAACATTTCCTCCCATAGGGAGGATTTTCCTGTGGCCTCTTCTCTTACCCCACCCTTAGTCCGGATCTACAATAGATGTAGTAAGCCTCAAACCATAAGAAATTGATCAATCACAATCAAATGCGAGGAGAATAATGAATTGTTATTCGTAATTTTCTTACGGCTTAAGGCTTACTACATCTATTGTAGACAGTGATGCCAGAATTGAGACGCGAGCAACATGCAACCGAGGTGGAGGGGATAACACACACAAGCGCAAACCGAGACAATACTTTTCTATAAATAAAAGCTTTTCTTCAATATTTTATATCAATGAAATATAAAATATTGAAGAAAAACTTTTAATTTTGAGAATTTTCGCGGTGCATTTAGAAAAGTATTGTCTTACTATTATATTTGGACATTCTTATATACGGACGCTCCTGAGACAAAGCGTCGCGCTCCTTAGTTACGCGTATCTGGCGACTCGTCGCTAACGTATGAGCGGTGAGTGGGGGGCAATAGGCGTGAGCAGTGATGCCAGAATTGAGACGCGAGCAACATGCAACCGAGGTGGAGGGGATAACACACACAAGCGCAAACCGCGTACGTGTGAGCTCGGTGCTTCGGCTAGCTTCGGATAGCAGAAGAGGACAGATATACTATTTTCTGTCTCTCTTCTTCCTATCGAGGTCCTCTTCTGTTATCCGAAGCTAGCCGAAGCGCTGTTTGCGCTTGTGTGTGTTATCCCCTCCACCTCGGTTGCATGTTGCTCGCGTCTCAATTCTGGCATCACTGATTGTAGATCCGGTCTTACCCCACCAAAACAAAAAATCTCGCTACAATGGGAATGCAGCCTGTTCTTCCTCACTTCCTCTTTATAAGAGAAGCTCGCAGCGGGTGACCGGCTCAGCCCCCAACCACAATTCCTTCCTGATATCTCCCCACGGAAGACTTCCCCCCTCCCTGATGGAGGGGGGGATGAGACATTGTTCTTGCCCATCCACCTCTCAGCCCTCTTCTCTCCCTTCCTCTCCTCAGCCCGCCAACCCTAATCCTAATCCCTGTCTCAATCACAACTCAGACCTACACGACCAACTCTTTAACCTCGTTAATGCCTTGATGGAAAAATTCGCTCTTGTTCTCAGGCTGTTGGGTCTGTATGATGCCGCTGCGGAATTTCTTAGCTCGCTCTTCCAATCTTTAAGTTCACATGGCTCGGCCTCCAATCCTTTACTCCCAAATGCTTAACTCAACACGGAAAAAATTCTCCCAACATCAACCTCTCAGAATTCTCCAGTGGAATTGCCACTCCCTTCTTAACAAGATTGACCCTTCTCATACTCTGTTCCAGGAGTTTGACGTGTTGGCCTTGTCTGAAACCTGGCTCAATCCTGACATTAATGTAAATCTTTTTAATTTTAATGTATTCCGGGCGGACTCTGCAATCCAAAATAGCGAGAGCTTACTCATGGCCATCCGCAGAACTGTTCCATACAGCCTTGTGAACAATTGTTTTCAACTCGGCGGTAGGCTGGAGTGCATGGCTGTCACCGTCCATTTTGAGAGTTTTGATCTTACTATCGTTTCGGTATACAGGCACCCGCACGGGCCTCTCTCTGGCCAGGAATATGACTCCCTGTTCGCCTTCTGCGACTCCTCCTCCCACGCAATTCTTCTGGGCGATTTTAATGCCCATCACCGAGAGTGGGGCTGTGATCGATCGGATGGAGAGAGCAGAACCCTCTTCTATCCTCGGCTTTGGGCGCGTCCTTCTCTTGCATAAACAACGGGTCCTCTACTTTCTTGACTCGCCCGAATCAGGCTAGGTCGGTAATAGATCTCGCCTTTGTATCCTCCTCTGTAATTGACTTGTGTGAATGGGATGTGCTCGATGACACCCACCTTAGCGACCACTTTCCGACCGAGATAAGGTTCAACTCCTTTAAAAAAAAAAAAAAGAAAGTTTTTCTCTCACAGGTTTAGGCTGTCCACCGTTTAGAGGGAACAATTCGCGAGGGGTCTGTGCAATAGCATATGCGCCCTCAGGGAAACCATCAGCGATCCTGCGTTAAATGCGGTAAATAGATATGAGATTTTTACCCGCCATATTAGGAGCTCTGTTTACCTCGGAAGGCGGGGGGGAGTTCCTCTGGAGAGTCGTCTAACCCTCACAAAAAACGAATCACTTTACCGGTCCCCTGGTGGAATGATTCTTGCCAGAAGGCCGTTGATGATCTTAGGAGGAGTCTTCTCTCGGCTTTCAAGAGGTCTCCGTCATATTCTAATTTTCTCGCCTTTAAAAGGCAGAAAGCTATCTCGAGGCGCACCCTAAGGACAGAAAAAAGAAAAAGATGAAGAGACTTCTGCCAGAACCTCAACCCTAATACCCCGGTTGCATACATCTGGAAGGTTATTAGACGTTTTAAAAATCGGCATCTGGGCATTGTTACTCCCTCTCCCAACTCTAACAGCCGCCTCTCATTGCCAGATGAAATTCTGAGTTCTATGAACTCCTTAATCCTCCATCCTCTCTTCATAAAATCTACTCCTGTCTCGACAATTTCCCCTCTGGCTATACCTGCAGGATGTTCGAGAGATCCTTCACCTTCGAGGAACTCTTATCGGTGGTCCGAAACACAAGGAAGCGCTCCTCCCCGGGCCTCGATCAAATCGACTATAATATGATCTCCACCCTCCCGGTGGAGTACTTACAGATTCTGTTTGATATTTATAATGACCTCTTGGAAACCGGACTTTTTCCGGTTTCATGGCATTACTCTGTGGTCTTTCTAATCCCAAAGTCCGCCCCGGGAAAGTTTCGCCCTATTTCTCTGACCTCCTGTCTGTTAAAGGTCCTCGAAAAGATGATCTTGGTTCGCTTGGACTGGTGGGTGGAGTCCTCGGTGGTTCTCCCTCCGACTCAATTCGGATTTCGTAGGAGAAGATCGTGCTCGAACAATCTAGTTTTGGTTGCTGATGTGTACGGCGGGTTTGCCTCTAGACAATCTGCGCCATGCCTGTTCCTGGATATCCAGGGAATATTTGACAACGTTGTCCCTAATATTCTAGTCAACGATCTTGTGACCTTGGGACTTCCTCCGAAAATTTGTTGGTTTGTTTGTCAGCTTGTTGGTCAAAGGAGCATCCAATTTGTTGTCAATGGCGAGATCTCCCCCCAATTTCTATCCAATAAAGGAGTTCCACAGGGATCTATATTTAGTCCCCTCCTTTTTAACTTGTACACCTCCGGCTGTAAACGGTGTCTGTCCAACGATTGCCGGATTCTTCAATTCGCGGACGATATTGCCCTGTATGTGAGATCTTCAGATATCGATACTGTCCTTGGATCTCTGGAGAGATCGGCCGATAGACTTTCGCGATTTTTATACACCAGAGGCCTAACTGTCTCTCCGGCAAAGTCGTCCCTCATGGTGTTTAGCAGAAAAAGAGTCAATCCTTTAAACTTTTTTATTGAATTGAGAGGCATTACTATTAAATCCGTCCGGTCGTATAGGTTCCTTGGAGTCTATCTTGACCCTACTCTCAACGGCAAGACTCATGCACACTATTTGATGAACAAGTGCGGGAAATTATCTAACATTCTGAAATCATTGAGGGGGGTTTGGTGGGGAGCGGACCCTAGAACCCTTCTTCGTGTCTTCAAGGTACTCGTTCGGGGATCAATTGAGTATGGATCTTTCATGTTTCCCTTGCAGAACGCTGGTCTCACGGATCTCCTAGAGAGAACTCAACGCAGGGCCCTCCGCCATTGCATTGGACTTTGACAATCCACCCCAACTAACATAGTATACGCGGAAACGGGGGTCAGTCCTGTCAAGCACCGTTTTTTATTTTTAGCTTCGAAATTCATCATCAAATCTTTTGCGCTAATAAATAACCCTCTTATCGAGAAACTTTGATGACCTTCACACCTCTCTATCAAATAGTAACAGACTTAATCTGACAGATAGATTCCCTCTATATAAGGCTTTCTGCATATTCAAAGAATACAAACGCAAAATCGCTTCCTTCACTAATATTCCTTTATTTCTTTTTCCTTACGAAACGATATCCTTTATTCCGGCTTCCGAGATCACCCGGTGGTGGAGAGTATTCGTCGGGCCCCATGTCTTCAACTTGTTTTTCGGGCGTTCCTAACCCACCTTATTGATGGTCGACACCTTATTTTTACGGATGCTTCCAGGAGGGAGTCTGGCGATTACGTTGGTGTCGGGATCTACTTTCCGACTTTTCACATTCGGGAAATGCTCAGGGTTGATCACAACTCCTCGGTATTGTCAGGCGAGTGTATAGCTGTAATTCGCGCTGTGGAATGTGTCTTTGAAAATGGTGTTGGCAAGGTAACGATATTTTCGGACTCCCGCAGTGTGATTTACATCGTCTCCTCCAACAGAATCGATAGGGATTTCAATTACCTCGTCCTCGTCCTCAAAAGCAAACTGAGATCGGCCTTCCTTCAGGGGCTTGACGTCATTTTAACATGGATCCCCGCACACGCGGGCATCCTGGGTAATGAATCGGCGGACCTCCTCGCTAAACGAGCCGTGAGAGAGGGCGAACTCTCAGAGTATCTCCCTCCTCACACGGATTTCTACTCGCTGTCTCGAGAGAGATATATTAAAACTGCAGGGGATTTTCTTGCTGCTCAGGCAGTCCGAAAAGGTTTCCAGTACTTTGACCTGTACCCGTCTTTCTCTGCTAAGTGCCGGTCTACAATAGGCGATTTAAGCCCTAAGTCTTAAGAAATTGACCAATCACAATCAAGTATGAGGAGAATATTCGACTGTGATTAGTTAATTTCTTAAGGCTTAGGGCTTAAATCACCTATTGTAGACTGGCACTAATGCATGGTTCTCTGGACTTTCGCTTGATCGCGCCGAGATAGTAACTGCTGCACATATTCGCTCCAATCATTACAACTTGAATTATAGTCTGCACAGATGCAACATCGTGGATTCTCCGGCTTGCGGCTGTGGGGTCCCGCGGCAGGACATCAACCACCTCTGGTCCTGTCCGGCTCTCTCCGCGTCACGCGGATCGCTCCTTTCTTCCATTGAACGCAATTTGGGGCTTCCCCCCCCTATGATAGATACGCCCCCCTTAAAAATCCACCCTACAAGACCAGTACTTCTATTGTTTCCTTTTTACGCTCGAACGACATTTCAATTTGAACTGGCTGCTTTGAACTGCTATGATGCGCATGCGCTACTCCCTCCTCCTTGCACGTCAAACTAAGATGGCTCTCTGGCAGCATGAATAGAATGCAACTGTTCTTTGCCATGCAATAGAAGAAGAGAAGAGAGAAGTTTCAATCAATCCTCTTTCCCCTTAGTCTTCAACCCCGCGGCAAAACGCTCTGTCCAAATATTTCCTACGTCCATGTCATACACAAATACACAGGGTGCGTTCGGAGAATATGCTTTTAGCGCTATGAGCGTTCTCTATTCTTGTTCAACTTTCAGTAAATAACATAAATAGAATGATGCTTTTAGCGCGTAAGCGTGTTTCCCGAACGCAATCACAGTGATGTATTTACAGCTGTTGACAGCTGTGTATAAGTGTATACAGAGTTCGCATCGATACTCGTTTGATTACACCAATCGACGATAAACATCAAAAGTATTTAAATACAACAATTAATCCTTCTTTGTTGACTTGTCACGTTATTTTCGAATAGATCGAATGAGAATATTTAGATTCGCACGGAGCGAGGAAAAATGGATGATGAGAATGCAAGTTGTGCATACGACAGCGATAAAGATACACAAGTGTCATTGTTGGATCTCCCGGTCGAGGTTCGTGCGGAATGCCAATTTTATTTCTCTCACACATGTACACATACGCGCAAAATTGTTTCCGCTGTCATTTATCTTTGTTATTATTTTGTTATGTTAGTTGCTTGTCGATGCAGTAAAGTTATAAGTAAAGTATTAAATAAGCAATGTGTGATTGCCTTATTCTCCTCTCTCTCTTTCTCTCTTTCTCTCTTTCTCTTGAGTTTTCTTTTATTTTATGTGTGTGTGTGTGTTTGTTTGTTTGTTTGTTGTTTGTTTAATTATATCAGACTAATTCATCCACATCATTTAATTTATCTATACTGCGTTTCAGATATTCCTGCATATATGTTCCTTCTTAAAAGCGTCAACATTAGTGCACAGTTTGAGCCTAGTATGTAGACAGTTCTATCTGATTTTAAAAGATGATTCATTATGGAAAGCGCGAATTAATCATATATGGCCGGATACTAGCTACCCCCTTTTGCGTCCTGGTTAGCTCAAATTGATAGTACCTTATTACTTTACATAACTATTCATTTAGTAAATAAATATCAAATAGTGTCTATATTAACATTTTATATTAGTTTTATATTAAAAGTGACATATATATAATTAACATAATTTCAGCAAAGCCTGACAAACTATTTTGGAAATTATCATGTGTTGCGATTGAAAAACAAAGAGCACTATGGAGACAGAAGGAATGCTCTATGCAGAAAATAGCTTCACGTCCACAGGGTAGCACAGTAGATGCTCTATTACTGATGCATGTAAGTATATTATTTAAGCATTTTTGGACATTTCTCTTTATAAAAACTGATATATAATATGACCCTAATGTACAGGACGGCACCGCTTATATTGCTGGTGCGAGAGATCGCAGTCTGATTTATGTGAAGTATGGACCCCCAGCTCACAGTACCTGTAACATAAGATCTGCGCATAATGGATGGATTTGGGATCTGACAACAATAGATAACACTATCTACAGTTGTAGTTGGGATCAGAGCGTTAAATCATGGATGCTTACTAATATTGGTCTTGTGCAACAGAAAACTTACAAAATGTACACAATAACGAAATGTTTCTTTTCGACTTTTTCATGATAAAACGACTGAGCGAGAAGAATAATTTCTATTTCTATAAGAAATTTTTATTAAATTTGTATTAAAATAATTTGTATTAAATTTGTATTAAAATAATTTGTATTAAATTTATTCAAATATAAATACTGCAATTTGCTCATTGACAAAGAACTCGGACATAATGCAGTTCTAAAGTTTATTCGCTCTATTAATTGATGTTCTTGCCTATTATTATTTTGCGCAAATAATTTTAATAAGAACTAATAAGAAAAAAAAATTTCAGGAGTGTGTCGGGTGCACTGCTGTGTGTGTCGTCGTGTCCAGAACAGAGTCTTTTCGCGACCGGTTCATATATGAGAACCGTATTCGTCTTCGATTCGAGATCGGGAGAAAAGCCGATCAGACAATATCGATCGCATGGAGGAGCTGTTATTAAACTGGCAATGAATTCCGAATACATCTTATCTGCTAGCGAGGATAAGACGGTGTCTATTTGGGATCAAAGAGCTGGACGAACCATGAAATATATCACAGTAATATTACTTATATATTTCAACAAAGAAAAAAGAAAATATATGTGATATCGCAGATATTTTGTAGATTCCAGGCGAAGCGTTTCCCATGTGCATAAACATGCAACAAGATTGTGTTTGTATCGGGGACAGCATCGCCAAACTGCATGTATTAAATCCGAAAAACGACTTTGAACTAGTAAAATCTTACTCTACTGAACATACAAAAGGGATAACGGGGGTGCATTTGACGCGCGGAAATCTGATAACGAGTTCCACAGACGGCACTGTTAGAATTTCGAGTCCTACGGATCCACCGAAATCCATGGCTACTTTATGTTCACCTTTTGGAGCAATTGCAAGAGTAAGTATCACACGTTATACAAAAGTATTATATATCAAGACGGAAAGTCATTATAATAAACGCCTTTACATCAAATATGAAATAAAGCTTGAAAACAAATTTTTATTTACAATTACATTTTATGTGTAATCAGATTTTATAATTATATCTATAAAATATTAACAAATTTTTTTCTGAAACTTTTTATAATGTACCTAGTTTATAATATCTGACGCTGATATTATGATAAAAATATTTTTTTTATGCTTTTCATTTTATAGATGGATTACCAAAACGGTATTCTCGCAATATCTGGCAGCGAAATCGTAGTATATCGGCCGATGTGTTCAATAAAGGATTAAAAAATTAAATAAAAAGGCTCTAATATAAGATAATATGAATAATATAGAAACAGGCGAATAAGAGCCAGACGCAGAAATAAACGCGCAGAGAGAGGTATTATCTAATTGTAGAAATAATTTAATCAAGTAGATTCGATTTGAACGTTTCGGTCTCAGTTCAGACCATCTTCAGCAACTAATACAGAGAAAAAAAAGGAAACAAAAATTATGCAACAATTGACATGAGTACAGTCAATTAACACAAATAAACATAAGATGTCGAAGTAAATACGCACATGATAAAAATGGATAGAGATGTACTCTCAAAACTCAACTGCCCTCATGACCCTCAGAGGAGGATATACATGGCGAGTCTCCCATCGGCTCCGGCCGTTGTGAGAACAAGAAACATCGACGAATCGGTCGTACTGTTGATTACGACATCGAGTTAATGAAAATTTTTTTAAAAAACACGCAGAAAAGCCGGAAAGTTAAAAAACTTCCAGCAAGCTGTGAGATGAAAGAGAGACTCATCGAAACCTTCGAAAAGACAAAAGGCTGAAGAGAACGAAAAGTAACTGTCAAACTGTTAAATTGTTCGATTAAAACTAACAAGTAACAATGATCAATGTCAAGGTTTAAAAATAACGGTATACATATCATGGCGGGCTAGTGACGTCAGTCGTCGCGGGAGTTTAAAGCTTAGGCATATTTTCTAATATCAATTACTGTGCTCATGTCAATTGTTGCATAATTCTTGTTTCCTTTTTTTTTCTCTGTATTAGTTGCTGAAGATGGTCTAAACTGAGACCGAAACGTTCAAATCGAATCTACTTGATTAAATTATTTCTACAATTAAATAACATCTCTCTCTGCGCGTTTATTTCTGCGTCTGGCTCTTATTCGCCTGTTTCTATATTATTCAAAATAAAAGATTAATTAATGGATAATTTCTATATGCATTTTATAATTGTTATATAGGTATATTGCTTTAATATATATATTTCTAATTTTTTCAATAAGACTATCATATATAAAACACGCGTGTAATATAATATATAAAGTTATATAGAGACACATTTAAATATATCTTGTTTTTATTATTGTGTTGCGTGCGCCCCTTGTGTTTTGTTCCTATGTGACGTCTATGGCAATTATATTTGATAATTGATGTATCCGTCTCTGGGAGATCTCTCTCACCCACTTAGCACGTTGCTAAGAGAGTTGTTGATAAACAAGAGTGGACATTTTGTAAAAAAGAGTCTTACGACCGTCGTCTTGCCGTGCGGACATGTTTTTCCGACGGCTACAATTATTATATTTCTTATCAATATTTTGTTCTGTTCATCAGTTATTAAAGTTCCATAGTATCTTTCTTAAAAGTGTCTCATTATTTCCGGCGCGACTGTTTGTGTGAGAGTGACGATGCAAGATCTATCTATATCGATTCGCGCACGCAACATTATTATCTTTCTGCTCTATTATATTATTTCGTTTAATGTTGTTATTTGTTTGCAAATTTTATGAAAAAATTACTTTCATGTAATTTTTTTTCTCTGCTTGAGTATCAGACTAACCATTTATAAGATTTAGAAATACAAGTTTTTCAAATAATAATACATAATTCTATCCTTATCTATAAAAACTCATATTTCTATGGAATTATCGCGTTTTCGATATCGTATTCGACGATCGTTGCATTACTTTTCAAATTGAACTTTTCCAGATGTCACGTGACATGTCTCATATCATTGTCATTTGATGCAATTTCAAGCGATTCACGTAGCGTCTTTCGTAACTCGCAGTGAGCCGCATCTGCGTCGGTTATTGTGCGTGTTTTATGCAAACAAGTTTCGCAAATCAAGTTTGCGATCACGCGTGTGCGTGAAGCGCAATTTCGCGATCGGATTATTAATTCGTTCGGCTCGCTTCATTGCGCGCTTATTTTTGAAAGTGCGAAACAAGTTCGCAATCGCGAGCGAAGAGGTTAGCGCTTGCCAACGTGATGGCGCCAAATTCATGATCGATAATATGCTAAGTTGTTAGCGATATCGCCAAAAAAGATTGAATCTTCGAAGATACAATAACAGCGGTTTCTTCGTGGTGTAACGGAACTCCTAGTTGAACTCGTGGCATTGCTGGGGTAACGGTGAGTTTTGAAATTTACTCAAATGTAAAGAAAATTAACATATATGTGTATGTGTGCATATGCGTGCTTGTATGTGTGCGTGCGTGTGCGTATGCATGCGTGCACGTGTGTGCGTGCGTGCGTGCGTGTATGTAACGAAAAAATGTATATAATCGCAAAAATCTGACATAAATATCTACAAATGTCTACAAGTTTTACTCCAACGAAAAGTTTTTTTCAGAGGAAACAAAATTATTAGAGTATTAATAATTTAGAGTATTAATAATTTAGAGTATTAATTAAATGTATAATAATTTTTAGGAGGGGGCAAGTTTTTTTTTTAAATCATTAACAAAAAAAGTTTATTGAATAGAATTGAATGCATGGTGGGGAAGCAACTTTGCCCTCCCCTGTATCCCCATCCCTAAAAAATCTGGCCTAACCCAACCCATTTTGTAATAGTAAACAGTTTTTCAAGAATTTTTATCTATTTAAGAAAATAATATTGTATATACGTTGAACAATTATTTTGAGAAATTACCGAATGTGTGCGTGTGTGCGTGTGTGCGTTAGTGCGTGCGTGCGTGCGTGCGTGCGTGGGTGCGTGCGTGCGTGGGTGTGTGCGTGCGCGCGCGCTCGTGTGTGTGTGTGTGTATTTATAAACAAGAGGTACATTATTACAATAAATCAGAAATGTAAAGATTTGGTTATATACATATAGTATAATCATATACAGAGTGGGCCATTTTAATCAATTCACTGGAATATTTTAGAACCCTTAAAGTTTAAGACACTTTTCAGACAAAAAGTTGTTTAGTATTGAGGGGGTCATCTGATGGTGATCTTCATTTGACCTTGGATCAAAGTCCAGAGGGTTATTTCAAGGTCAACTTTATTTTGTTAAACGGAGCCCCCTATTTTTAATACATATTCTTATAAATCTTCTTGAGACCTTTTCCAAACACTATAATAAAGTATTTTTTCATTAAGTATTTTTCGTATTATTTTATATTTTAATTTGACATATTTTGACAAAATATAAAATATTTCGTAAAATATTTAATTTTCGATAATTTTATTGTAATATTTTTATGCACAGAATAATGAGATGAACCAATTGGTGTAAAAAACATAAATAATTGTTTAAAAAGAATACATTGTAAATAACACAGTTCAAAAAAAAAAAAAAAAAAAAAAACACCGAGATGGGACTACCCGTTTCTTATAGGTATTTGGACGCTGAACACGAATCCGGTTGTGAAATTGCTCCATCACGTCAGAATTTTGAGAAATTTACAATCAAAGTTGCAAAAAAGGGTTATTTTCACGAAATTTGTCATATTATAGCTACAATATGTGACGTGCTGCAGAAGTTTTATTACAATCAAAATAAGTATGTTGTTAAGACTTTCAACCCTCAAAAGGAATTTTTGGTGTCCGCTATGGTTAATAAGATATCCATGGTTAAATATGGAGTGTATTGCAGAAGTTAGCTGTGACTTAGGTCATTGACGATTTATCAGATAGCTTTCAATTATATTTATTTAAACTTAAAAGTTTTTTAGATCGCTGAACACGAATTCAATGTCAAAATTGTCAAATTCTAAATGGTGGACTTAATATGGCGGTTGCCAAACCTTAAAAAACGTTTAACTTGCAATCTAAACATTTGTGTCCACCATTTTGGATTTGACAATTTTGACATTGGATTCGTATTCAGCGACCTAAGAAACTCTTAAGTTTAAGTAATATGAAAGCTATTTAGTAAATCGGCAATGATCTAAGTCACAACTAACTTCTGCAATACACCCCATATTTAACCATGGATATCTTATTAATCATAACCGACACCAAAAATTCCTTTTGAGGGTTGAGAGTCCTAACAACATACTTTATTTTGATTGTAATAAAACTTCTCCAGCACGTCACATATTGTAGCTATAATATGACAAAGTTTGTGAAAATAGCCCTTTTTTGCAACTTTAATTGCAAATTTCTCAAAATTCTGACGTAATGGAGCAATTTCACAACGAATCGCGGATTCGTGTTCAGTGTCCAAAAACCTGTAAGAAACGGATAGTCCGGTTCCGGTGTTCGAAAAAAGTCATTTTTTGTTAAACAATGTAATTACATATTTTTTCTTAAAAACAATTATTTTCTTTATACCAATTGATTTGTCTCATTATTCTGTACATAAAAATATTACAATAAGATTATCGAAAACTAAATATTTTACGAGATATTTTATTTTTTATATCAAAATATGTCAGATTAAAATATAAAATAACTCAAAAAATACTTAATGAAAACATACTTTATTATTATAGTGTTTTGGAAAGGTCTCAAGAAGGGTTATAAGAATATACGGCTACAGTTCCGAAAACGATAAACCTCCGATTGCGCTGAAATTTTAACCAAAGCTTGTCCTTGACTTGAGTATAAAGCACCTTGAGGGTTTTTTGCCGACGAAGCCCCGTTTGCCCCCTATGCCCCCTCAAAGTTCCAAACATTTTTACTGTATATCACCAAAAATATTGATTTTAGAGAAAAAAGTTTCAAACAAAAAATAAAGCTCTTAAAAAACTGAACAAAAAAGGTTATGTACATTTTTTACGTAAACCCATTATTTTGGGTGTTATGTAATAAAATAATAATTTTAACGTTCTCCTGTAAAAATATATTGTACCAATATGTCTAGTTCTTTGGTAGTGGAGCCTCCCCGTAGAGGGGGTGGAACACACTGCCTCCATGCATACACTTTTTAATGCGAAGTGAGGTTCCACATGGGTTTATAAGTTTTCACGCAAAGCGAGGTTCAATCCAAACCAATGTGTCTAGTTCTTTAGTAGTGGAGCCCCCCGTAGGGGGGCGGAACCCACTGTTTCTACGCATACACTTTTCCACGCGAAGCGAGGTTCCACATTGGTTTGCAACTTTCCATGCAAAGCGAGGTTCCACGCAAACCTATTTGTCTAGTTTTTTGGTAGTGGAGCCCCCCGTAGAGGGGGGCGGAACCCACTGCCTCCACGCATACACTTTTTAATGGGAAGTGAGGTTCCACATGGGTTTACAAGTTTTCACGCGAAGCGAGGTTCAATCCAAACCAATGTGTCTAGTTCTTTGGTAGTGGAGCCCCCCGTAGAGGGGGGCGGAACACTACCTCCACGCATATACTTTTTAATGCGAAGTGAGGTTTCACATGGGTTTACAAGAAGAAATTGATTTGGGAATCTACAACTGAAGGAAATCTATTAATATATTTCCCTATGAATCAGGTCCGATACATTGTATTAATACGATATCGTTAAAATTATTATTTTATTACGTAACTTCTAAAATAATGGATTTATGTAAAAAATGTATATAACCTTTTTGTAGAGTTTTTTAAGGGCTTCATTTTTTATCGAAAACTTTTTTTTTGTAAAATCAATATTTTCGGTGATATACAGTAAAAATGTTTGGAACTTTGAGGGGGCATAGGAAGCAAACGGGGCTTCGTCGGCAAAAAACTCTCAAGGTGCTTTATACTCAAGTCAAGGACAAGCTTTGGTTAAAATTTCAGCGCAATCGGAGGTTTATCGTTTTCGGAACTTTATCCGAATATACAATAAAAAATAGGGGGTTTTATTTAAAAAAATAAAGTTGATGTTGAAGATCACCATCAGATGACCCCTTCATTACCAAACAATTTTTGTCTGAAATATTTTTGTCTTAAACTTAAGGGCTCTGAAATATTCTATAATAGGATTGATTAAAATGGCCCACCCTGTATAATGTTTTCAAAATTTATCTGCGTCTATAATCTATATTATAAATAAATATGTTGCATAAATCCAAACTGTAATTTAAAGTATTAATATTTTATAACAAATATATGAATTAATCTTGCATTTCAAATTTGTTATTGCTTATAAATCTCTTCTTTATGAATTTTTGTATGTCCATTTCAGCAATAATTATGAATAGGGCACTAGAAATGATGTCCATTTTAGGTCCTTTTTTAGCTATTCTATAGACGTCCGAAGTTGCAAAAAACCGACGTCCAATGGATGTCCGTCGGACTAAATTCAGATATCTTATGGATATCCCAATGTCCGAACTTGAACTTTCAATGGACGGCCATAGGAGTTCCATGTGCTATTTGGGAAAGAACGTTCTATCACACGTTCTATTACGGCGTCCGAAAATTACATTCTATTCAGCTTTTTTTGTTAATAATTTTTTAATAAGGGCTTGCCCCCTTAAAACTATCATACATTTTGTTTTTAATAATAAAAGCAATAGGCTCAGGATAAGAACAATTAAGTAGGAAAACTTGATAAAACTTTGGTATAAGTGTAGAAGTGCTACTCCAATGAAAACTCAAGTTTTTTAAATAGCAATCAACAAAATTATTATAAAAATAAAATGAATTAAATGAGAAAACTGGCAGATAAGAACCCAGGCGCGGGTATCAGTGCGCGATGTTATTTAATTAAATTAGTTAAATTTAATTAACTAATGTGTATTAAAAATGTACTTTTTACCGATTTTCGTCCATCTTTAGCATGGATATAAATATATAAAGATCAAATTGGAATTTTAAAACTTAACATACATAACATTTGCAGTTGCAGTCAAATCTCAAATTAAAATTAGTAATCAGAAAGGAGGCTCACTAAAACCGATGTGGAATCGGTACAAATAAGTGAACAACGTTCAATCGCTATCGCCACCGTGATTGCAATGTCAAGTTTTAAAATTCCAATTTGATCTTTATATATTTACATCATATTGACATCAGAATATATAGACGGAACATTTTGAGAGGGGTAACTGATAATTGCAGTAAGGAGGGAGTGAATGAATATCGGCTAATTCCGCCGTCAGCGGTTCGGTTATATTCGGCGTTGCATGACAGTTCCATTGAAATCATTGATTCTCAACCAGATCTTCGCGGAAATGTTTGAAAAACGTATATTTTAGAAAAATCTCTAACGCCACTTAAACAATTTTATATATATTTTTAATTGTAATTGGAA